TTCTGGCATGGCTTCCATACATAAGTTCTAGGGTAGTACAAGGAGATGGGTGGACAGCGTATATACGTGAACTTAAGATAATTCAACCGCTTTAGGATTCACCGGAAAAGCAGGAGGATCTCCAGCACATATCCAATGTTGTGTGCGATGCAATTGATGGAAGAACTAAAATAGCGTGTATATATATATATATATCCGTTTTTGATAGTATTTTTGTAACATTCTCTCCCATTCTTTTGCGCGTGTAATTTAAGCAATTTATCAGGAATCACTTCATTCGAAAGTGAATCTAAGATGTAACAATTATTTTTAACTTTACGAAGATTCAGTAACCTCGTTATAAGCTTAAACAATCTCTCACTTTGATTGGTTTAATTTATGAATAGCGTATTTATATATACATGCAAATTATTCGCGTCTTCGGCGAAATCGTATATCGATATTTGCGACAAAAATAGTTACCCTTTTAAATATTTAAGATTATATATCTCTTCCTCTTAAAAGAAAATTAGTAGGCTACAAATATGTCTAAAATAAGAAAGTAATCTCATCTCACACATACACACAAATTTTTTGTTATACGAGAAAGTCAAATTCATTCTATGCTTATAATTTACATATATATTTTTGCAGAAAATTCTATATATATAGTCACGTATATTTAATATAATTATGAAAAATGAAATAAATGTATAGGGGCACGAACTGTAGATAAGCAAGTCTTTTTAATTACTAGATTTATGAAACTACAATTTCTATATACGAAGATTGTGGTTCTCACACGACTACCGCTGGCACGTGGAAATATGCGGAGCTTTATCCGGCGCGCGATATAGTATTAATTCGTTTCGCTCTGAAAGCTAATCCAGACACAAGACTAACCCTTGTTCATTTTCTTCGTCCTGCACCCCAAAATTCGTCCACTCTGCTCTTTGATACGTGACCAGGCTCCCGAATCGTTTGTTCACTTTTCCCCTCCTAAATCTCTGTGGATATTACTACGATGTTGCTTTATACGGCATTTTATCCCGGAACGTTTTCACACGAGTCGTATTTTTTCAGTGAAAAAGAAGTGGCGTGAGTACAATTTATATCTTTTATCGGAAACGGATATTCAAAACTTAAACAATCCACAATGCACAGCGAATTATTTTATTTAATACATTACCTCTGTTTTACTCTTTTTTTTTTTTAATTTCATATTTACACTATAAATTATCATTGATTATTATTATTATTGTATAAAATTATAATCGCATACTATTATTTAATTAAAATAATCATCGTTGTGCTGTCGAATTATACTTATAATATCAAATTAATAAAAAATTTATCTAACAAAAACCAAATTGATTAATATTATTGGTAACCAATTTAGATAAATCCACTTAAAGATTGTCCATTTCGAAATTCGATTAAAACCATGAAGAGGCACTTGACGGGATCGGATTGCGTCACGACATGATACGCGACCAATCGGTATCGAGATTTAGCTTTCTTTCCTCATACGGTCGTCCCAGTTAGTCTTTCCGTGTCGAAAGAACACGTCCAATGATCCGAAGACAATCTGACGATCTGGGTGGAGAGCCTCTTGATTCCACCGGCGAACGCTCCGTTCCCGGTTTCCGTACCTGGGATCCCGAAAAAAAAGGAGAAGGAGGGGAGAAGTACCTCCTCTAATAAATTCCATTAGGCATGGGCTCTTGCGCGTAAGGGCCCCGATATTATGTTACGCGTTTTGACGTGCGCTCTCAATAGGCGCGCATCCATTACGCGCGGGCCCGGTGTGCGACACCGGTCTCCTTCGAGGTCAGAACTCATTCAAGCAACCGGGACACGGTCCTTTGGTGCCCTACCACCGATCTTGGGATCCCTTCACCGACGAGGACCCAATCCGCGCAAACCAGGCGAGCATAATTCGATTCACGAATGCTTCGCTTCTTCCTCTACCCGCGCGCGCGTCCTTTGTCGCGCGATGCTCATCCTGGATACCGGATAGCGGCACGCAAGATCCTGCCTTTTGTCAGTGCTCCCACTTTCTCTCTCTCTCTCTCTCTCTCTCACTCGATCCCGATCTCTCTTTCGGTCTGTTTTTATTTATTCTCCTCGAGAGCGAACGACGACGAGATCGCTCGCTCGAGCTGCTAAAACGGGAAAAGGAGCGACAACGACAGGGTGAGATCCTTCAAGTAACTGTCGGGACAATACCTACTCCCGCCGATCTATTAGCAAGAATAACGACGTGCCACAGACTCTTCTGCCTCGATGGCTCTGCAAAGATGAATAGACTGAAGCGTTCGAGCTCTCTCTCGCTCTCTCTTTCTCTTTCTCTCGAATTGCGACAACGCTTCATACGTAACGAGCGGATTGAGGGGTTAACAAGTTTCAGCATTCAGGTAGAAATAGTCGACAAGACATACTGTCAATTTCAGTGTCTTCTTCATTAAAATCTCCATCGGCGGAAATTATCGCGGCTCTCTCAAACGTTTTGCATTCCGCGACAAGATGAAGGAAATGTCGCAACTACATGATTTGACTGAAAATGTTAATGTAAAAAGCCATACATATCGTACGTTTAATATTACGCGCTGATTTTGGAGTTTGTGCAGCATTGTTGTATTAATTAAAATTTAAATAGCCATCGTCGGGAATTATTAATATAAGGATTCGTGTATTTAATCGCCGAATGCATCGGAGGAATAATAAAAGGATTTCACGTTTGGTATTACGAATGTAATTATTACTAATTACAATAATATATATTAATTTGTGCTCGCAAATTATAAAATACAATAATCACAGCTTTTATATTCACGGCCCATTTTGTTTGCCTGTATTCTAGACAAACAAAAAAAGAACATTTTTTCAAAGTATCTTCTAATTTTTAAAAGCCGTGCCCTTGAAGCCTTATGTCAGTTTACGCATCTCTATCTTTATCGATGAACTTAGTAATAATATCAAATGATGCTTTTTTAGGAGAGGAGAGAGGAGGAGAAGAGGGAATTTAAAAGGAACGGTGAGAACGAAATGTCGAAACTGGGAAAGTTTGGTCGTAAAAGGGTCGAGTGCTGTTGGGTGAACCAAATCAAGGGACGGAAGAAAGGGTGACGGAGGGAGGGATGGGGAGGTCGCGTAAGCAAAGCACGAATCGAAGTTGGTAGCTACGGTAAACGGGTAGGAGGAAGGACGAAGGGGAGACGAGCACGCGATTAGACGAGATTGAGAAAGTCCTTTGTCGTCGTATGGGATAAAACTTTCTTTTTTTCTTACCGCATCTCGCTCTCTGTCTTCATCTTCCATTCGCCCGGCTCCCTTCGCTCTGCCTTTCTCTCTGTCTTCTTCGGCCGCCTCCTGTTGCGCCCTTTATCGTCCAATGAGATATCAGACGATATTCGTTACGACCAGCAGAAAAAAGTACGAACAAATCCACCTCATTGGCTGGCACTCGATGCAGAAGAAATGGCTCGAATTTCTCGTCGATTCCCTTCGGACCCTTTTTGAGCTATTTGAACTCGTCGATACAATACTCGAATTCGGATATTTGAATGATATCGATTGGTATAGTTAATCAATTATTATCAGAGATAGGCAAAATAATATCTGAAATAGAAATTTGTATATAATCTAAAACTATTTTAAAACTATTTTAAAAAATTTAGTTAATTTTACGAACTAGAAATAAATATTTTCTATACATTTTTATCTATAGCGAAAATTCTAGGGAAAATAAATTTTCAAGTAATATTTTATTTAAACGGAACTATTTAAATGTGATTGTTTGGAATAGTCTGCATTTACATTGTGTCGATCATTAATTATTATTTACATCTATATAAATCAATTGATAGCTAAAAAATTGATATATAAATTATTATCACAATGTTTTCATAAGCAAGAATAATAAAAAATAATATTTTACTATAATATCAAGGAGATATATCGAGATAAATGGTAAATTACAAGCAAAGTATTCTCTAACGCAGACACGTGAATACAAACTGTGTGTGTTGCTTGAACTATCCTTCTCTGACCGAAATTTAACTTCGCAACCGCTCGTGTTTACCCCAGTATATATACGTAAAGCTCTCGCTGAATATTGCATTTCGCGTCTAATAATATAATCTGCTAACGCTTTCGCGAGGATATGTTAAAATAAATAGCATAACAGCCTTTTATACGTTACAAATCTCCGCGCATCAGGCAACTTTTCATTTTTAATATCTCCCGACGATCTTTCCAATCCGCATGACGCATCTGCAAATCCGTGTCGTTGCCTCGCGTATTCGCGCTAACGCTCAAAAGTGAACTTTTGTTGGATTTGGCTTAAAAAAAAAAAAAATCCAGATTTGCTCGCGGATAGAGTTATATGTGCCTAGCGGTTTTCCATCTGGCATCTATCCACCCCCGACGGCCGCGATAACGGTCGACGCGTGTGAACCGCGTGCCTAATCGTGAGATCGGCTCAACCCTTTGCCAGATGAAAACCCAGACCACCTGCCCTGGATTACTTGTGAGCATTATAAGCCTCGAGACCGCCAGCCGTCCCAGATTCTGGGGCGAATCCTCGCGCCGACGTGTCGATCTAGCGCTTTTCTTACCAAACGGCCTGTACCGACTCTCTATTCTAAGGTGATCCAGTTTTAAAGAGATTCTGTATTTTCAGTCGTCAGTTAACTACCGAAAATAGTTTCGGTTTAATAAAAACGAATACCTGAACTCTTCCTTTTTACAACAGTTTAGGATGGTCGATTTTAAGTTTTATTACATCGGTGACTGAAGACAAATTACACAATGCAATAAAAGCTTGCCTTTCCAAGGAAAACATTTCAAGGCTAAACGATTTTCTTCTATTGAAAGCTTTGAAAAAATCCCTTTTACAACACGTTCACACTTTATAAACGCCGAAATATATAACTCTATTGTCAGCGTACTGAGCAATTAAAGGAGAAACCCTGTCTCAATCTTTTTAAATTAAAAACTATTTTTCATTGTTGTTGCAGGGTGTTTGTTGGACAGTTCGGCACCGCGGGGCCCGCCTGATGTGCCACCCCGTAATCCCGCAATGAGCCGGCTCAACGGAAGACTGCCAGGAAGTCACGCAGCGAGTGATCACGAACGCGATCCCGATCTCGAGCCATCCTGCCTCGTACGCACCCCATCCGGTAACTTCTACAATATACCAAGTGAGTCCGCAAGTAGGGATCATTAAGTCTGATTTAGTGGAAACGAAGAGTGAGCGGAATATATACGTGGGAAACGACGCTTTTTCCCCTTTTTCCCTCTGTGTCTATGAATACCTCGGCAAATCCGAAATTGATTCATTTTTTTGTGAAACGGAAATTCGAGTTATATTCGTCGATATTTTCTTACAGTTTTAATCATAAATTATCGCAGTAAAATGATAAACGTTCAGAGAATATTTAACGTAAGAATATTCAAATATAAAACTTTCTACAAACTTTTGTTATTTTTAATTGCTCGTAGCAGGAGAACTGTCGAGATCTCTACATCTTTATTACGAAAATTATCAAATGCAAAGAATCTGTTGGTCAAAGAATCCGTAAGCGATATTTCAGGTAATATCCGTACATTTTCCCCTTTCATCTCTCTGTCAGACACTCCGTTCTCCATTACCTTAATTAAGGGGAATATCGATCCGAGAAAACTTTTTTTTTCTCTCTTACCTGGTCAGGTAGTTCTGTCACGAAATGAAAGAGACTATTTTTGTAGCTGTCCTGATTTTCTTGTATCTCCCCGATCAATTTGTGCAAACATAAACATAAAACTCCCCGACNNNGACGCTCTTAATAATGCGGCGCGATTGCCAAAGTATCCCAACAGAAAAATATCAACACGCATCAATATTTGGCGGACGAGGAGAAGAACGCGAGCGCGAGTGTCCTGGCAGGGTGTGTCCTCCGATAATGTCGTCGATGTTTGCGCCAGCTCGTCGAAAGAAGGCTTAGGCGTGGGACGATGGCGAGTGACATCTTTTGACGAGGGTATACGTCGTAATCAGCGGTAACCAATGAGGGGGTCAGCCAACGGGGGGAGGGGGCAGCGTCAATAATTTCCAGATCCTCTCGCGCGGGAGCTCGTCGTATCTTATCGTCTCCGAGTTTTTCAAAGGCTCCTCGGAAGCCACGCTGAAGTACCTGAAATGTTCCTTTTTTACGAACTTTTCGTGCGCCTCTGTTTGCCGAAGGTATCCCGACAGTATTCTTTCGCTTTATCTTGGGAAAGCAAGGCACGTGATAGCGCCCGCGCCCGGCGAGATGCTCGCGTGTTTCGCGTGAGAAAACGCGGTTCTCTTCACGTGAAATAAAAGTTGGGAATAAAAGCCCGGGGCTTGTTGGAGTAGTTAACTTGACTCTAACAAGCCTCGAACGATTCTCAAAATTTAGTCGCCGGATTGGATCGGTCTGGTTCGGCTCGCCAACTTAGCTTTCCACGAGTAGTCTTCAAACTTGCGCTCGTATAGGCAAATTAATTACAAATTTAATTTAAAGTATTGTAACATGGAATAGCATTGCATACCAGTGGCAACTTTCCAATGAAATTTAAAAAAAAATACTCGATCCATTCGATGTCTAGAAGATGTGAAATGAAAAAAAAAAAAAGCAATAGAGATCGTGCGAATATTGGAATTGCTGTATCGCAAGTTGTTGAATACGATTATTCATGCCGCAATTTTGCATTTTTAAAATCTTTCTCGATTCTTTAGAAAATGTGCTCTCTTTAGAAAGTCCAGAACTTCAAGTTAATGCAAGATAAAGATAAATAGGTTATTTCCATATTGAGTTCAACAGCGATACTCGAATTTACTACCCCGTGCTGTGCGACGAAGGACGGTCGCTTGACGGTTTCAACTTGTCCTTCGTCCTACCACCGAGCGCACTCAAGGAAAGAAAAGGGCGTCTTGCGGCGACATTTTCCGAGGCACTCCAACGAGTGGTGCGCGTGGTATCGACTACGGAGAGAAAACAACGGCGAAACCTAACCGTTTTCACGTATAAAGTGTCCCCGGATCCGCTCGGGAATAGTGTCCGGCACACAAGAGTCGCCCGCGCACCCGGTCTCCTTCCTCTTGTTTAGCTCGTCGTAAAGATTTTTCAAATTCCACGGTCGGGCGCCGGAGGTTGACTTTTCGCCGATGCGTCTCTGTGTATGTGTGTATACCCCTTGCGTCGTTTTTCTAAAGCAAACGCTAAACCGTCTTAAAGGTTCTCTTGAAAGCCATGAGATAGCTCGACCCGTGATTTACGATCCTTCGACATATTGACTGCCCGGTTACGGCATTGCCTGACGCTTATGACTGTCTGCATAATGCTTAGCTCCATTTATAGTCGAGATTTCTCTTTTCTAGGGGGGGTTACCTTGCTCACTCATATTCGTTTTCTAGATATTCTCTAGACGAAACGTGGACCCATGTTTGTTACGGTTGTAAATTGTATAATGTGTAAATTGAAAAAGGGTTTTTACGAAAATAAAAGGACTGCGTTACTTAAAGTACATCTGTATATACTTTTGTTCTGCACATCTTTTACGACGAGCTATATAATATGTATTCACATAAAGTAACGTTCGAATTTTGTTAACCCTTTTCATTTCGTATATTTTTACATGACATTGATAACTATTTATTCATTTATACTTAAGTATTTATAATATTGAAGATGGAAGAATGTAAAATTATATATTTATTTTTCTTTATTTATTTTTATTTATACTTAAAAATATTATTCTTTTAAATTTTATTTGTTATTACTTATTTTTTATAATATTTAATTATTATTATCTATATTCAGTTTTATTTTATTTTTTTCTGTTTCTTTATTACATTTATATTTTCTCTATATTATAAAGAATAGAAATTAATTATCAAAGCTTTCTCAAGATATTTATATTTCATTCTCTGTAACATTGGATGTGTCGCATATGTTTCACGTCACTTGAGGAAATTTATTTCGCAGCTTTTAGTGAAAGTATATAACTGAAAATGATAGCGCTAGACGGAAAATTTAGTCGCTCAGATGATTTAATGCGACCAACGAAATCTCAATCCTATGCATTCAACCCTTTGCTGGGCTATCCTTCGCGCGGGGACGCCTTTCGCGAGCGCATCATCTACAGTAAATCACGTGGCAGGTCGCCAATTAGAGTGATTTCTCGCCGGCGAACCGCCGATTAGCAGATATTCCCCTCTAATTCGATTCCGGGCGATGGGGGTCGACGTCTCGTGCGCCTAAGCGTTCCGGAGGAAAAAATAAAAGCGAAAGGCACCCTCGGGGTAGAGAGCGGACTAACCCCCGAAATCACCGTAATCACGGATATCTGCCTAAATGGCATAATCACCGGATTTCGGCGGGGCCGGAGCGCCAACACCTGCAATTAGCGGCGGCTTCGGGGGGTCAGCGGCTCCGGCCTGGGCCCTCTTCTTCCCACGCCCGCGTTTTACCGATATCGCTGTGGTATGTGTAAAGGGACGAGAAAAGAGCGGGTTCTCCCCGCAGTATAAGAAGAGACAAAAGGCGCGCTGAAGTAACAAGCTCTTCATCTCTCTCTCTCTCTCTCTCTCTCTTTCTTTTTGCCTTCCGCTCCTCTTCTTTATCGAGCTTCTCGAAAATGGGTTTCGTGAAGCAGTCTCGAAAGGGGCTAAGTGTCAAGAACAACAAAGCTCGAACTCAAATGTCGCCTGCGCGCGTAAACGTGCAAAGTGGCTCATTAATATTCAAAACGCTGCTGCGGAGCGCAGCGTTTTAAATTGCGCATCGCGCATGATATCTCGCCGCACGAATAGCCGAGTTAAACTTCTAAAATTAATTCGGAGCTTCGTTATAAACGTAAATATATTTCAGCTGCGTTTCTTTCTATTTTTTATCAATCATTATATACCCGGCATTGAATATTCAATTCAGATTTCCTTTTTTTTTCCACGCGATATTTCCAGCTAATTATAAATGTTATACGTTTCATCATTTTTTGCGGCCGAAAATAAATTTTAAACGAGCATTTTATATACCCGCTCAAAAAGACTTTATATTTTATCGTCTCTCCAATAGAGATATCCTACATATTTTAGTAGAATATTACGCGAGAGAGAAACATAATAGAATTTGTGCAATTTCGTCATTTCACGTTGGAAACTTGTATTAGAGGTTCTCCCGGTTGAGGATCAACGCGTTAATACTATCACTCGTGTATATTGTTACGAATGTGATCTCTCAAACCACCATCATCCACCACTAATCATCAGTACTGTCGTCGCGACAATCTGCCGAATATGCCTGATGTATATTGTACATGACATTGCATTTCATAACTTTCAAAATCGCTCAAGGAACATTTTAAAGAAGATGAAAATAGAGAGAAAGTGGAAAAGAATTTTGCTATAAAATACATTATTTAATCAAATTAGCTTCGTTCAAAAAAAATAAGTAAAGACTCTTCTTACGACGTATTTTCTTTTCCTGCCTTTAAGACCCTCTCTGGTGGTTTTCTAAACGCAGACAGTTCTCCCTTCACGCGACTCGCATTCTGCTTGCTTGAAATTCAAGCCGAAACCGCGATTAATCATATACTTATCGATTCAACAGGAGAGCCGCGACCACCGTCTCGCTCCTTTCTTTTGCTTCACGCATATGCGACGTAGAACGGACGGAAAGACTCTCGCTCGCGTCTGGCATCACAAAGAATGTCTGGTCGTTCACCGGGAAAAGTCTCGCGCTGAAAATGAAGAATCGACACGTATCGTAATTTATTTAACGACCGACCACGCCTTACGTTCATCGACCACCGCGTCTAATTATACGTTCCTCATAATCGGAAATACTGCTTGCGAGGATAAATGTAAGCGAGGGGTGTCATTATCCCGTCGAATCGCAACGGCGAACATTTTTAACTACATTCGACTGATAGAATGTCCACGTCAAATCTGCGTAGTATCTATTGCGTGCTGTCTATTAAGAGTTCTAACGATATCATTTACCTCCGGGAATCAGTTAGTTTAATGGAGCAATTAATCCTGAACGCGCAGCTTTCAAAGATTGAGAAATAGTCGTATCCTCCTGCGAAAACTCGTCGAGTATAAGCTATCTCGCGTATACTAACTTCCGCGTATTACAATGCTTATAATGCGATTTCGTATGCATTACGTAAAATGTAAGCTACATCGCGTTGAATTGCATTTACATTTCGGCGGCGAAAAAACTTGACAGCGAGAGGGGGGGGAGAGGGGTAGGAGAAGGCGCCGTTTCCCACGAGAAATTTCGCCGATCTGTCAGACGCGAATATAACAAACTATCTTCATCGTCTCATCTTTCGTTTCTTCTACCTTCTTGCAGAGATACCGAAGAATGAATACAACAACAAGAATCAGTCTACGGGGAACAGTCCAATAAAGGTGGAGCTGCAGAACAACATGGACAGGTAAGAGTCGTACGTGCCGCGCGTTTACCGCGTAATATTTTTCTTCTCTTTCTTTCTCTCTCTCTCTCTCTTTCTCGAACGGCGAATTGTGTCATTCGTGAATGAATTGAATCGAGGTGCGAGCCGAGAAAACGCGTGTGGCGAATTGTGTCGTTCGTGAATGAATTGAATCGAGGTGCGAGCCGAGAAAACGCGTGTTTCGAAAACCTCGACAGACGGACGAGGAGAACGGTGGCGATCGACTTCTGCGTTCTCCCGGCTTCTTTCTTCGCGCCACTCGACAGACCCTCATGAATCATCTATTCAGCCGACACGCACACAATGAGTTAATGTTCGAGCGCGGATTGTCATCCCTCAAGGAAAAGACGTCCCTGGTCCGCGCGTGACTGCTCGCCGTGAAAAATCGTCGGTCCTTTGGGTCCTTACGACGCATTCGCCACAGATCCTCGAGGAACGCTCTCGTTGAGACTCGCAAAACGGTCGCTGCGTATTTACCGAACCCGTAAAACGAACTTCTTACGGACAGGGACACAACGGAGTTTGATATCCGAGCGAACGGATTCGAGTCTCTCCGGACTTTCGCGCTATGCAAATTTACCAAATGACATTAACGCGCGCTCGAAAGTTAGACGAATTATTTTCCAGAAATTGAATGAAACGATATTGATTTAATACGAGATAGAAAAGATAATTTCATAATGGAGTAATGCTGATTAGTATAGTCGATCTGACATTTAATTGCGTTCGATATGTTTTTCTACTTATTATTAATTGTCAGTAAAAAAGAATATTATGAAAAATTTGTCATTCCATGTTAAAACTTGTGGATATTTATAAGTGTCAAATAAAATGACAGGAGTGAAAATTTTTTTGGTTCGCGTAAAAAATCATACACACAATACGTTTCACTTATATCTTTATTAAAAATCAAAACAACGAGGTATGGTAAAAATGTAAATGTGGCAAAACCAAAGAGTTAACGTTCAAAAACGTCGGATATTTCAATATTGAAACTTTGTAACGAATAAGTCAAACACTCGGTTAAACATTTCGACATCCGGCTGTAAAATAGAGAATTCAGAGACCTGGAAGTTTCACTCAGAGAACTCCAAATCGTCCGCTTTTATTTTGTTTGCGCGATATAAAAAAAAAAAAAACTGCGCGCGGTCCAATCCGCGTAGAATCAACAGCGGAAGCGAGGACGCCTGGAGAGGACGGTAGACGCCGGCTGGTTCTCGTTTTTTTCATTATCACGCGGTGCAACGAAAGCAAACGCGCTTTCCGTTCGCGCTTCAGAATCCGACGGTTGCGTTTAAATATTTTGGTTAGACATTTGTGAGTTACTTGGAAGCGGCGGCGGCGGCGGCGGCAGCGGCAACTGTTCACTACAAACACACTCGAGGGCTGCTGCTTTTCTATGGGGGTAGGTAACGAGCGAGAATACATTGCGCGAGTTTCTCGAACGCCGAAGGAAAGAGAGAGAGAGAGAGAGAGAGAAGAAGAGAGAGCTGCAACTCTATATTATAGCGAGACTCCGAGAGTTCGACCGAATGTGCTTGAAAATTAGACTGAAGTACCGAATTCCTCGACGTTGTTTCTCTAATTACAACGGCGGCGCATCGAGAAATTATGTAACATCGTGTAACGATTCGACTCGGACCGCTATCTAACTTTTCGGATAAAACAGCGGGATAAAGATTAATCTCTGACCGCTAACGAGCGGGCGGATGATCGTTAATGACGACGCGTATTAGACGAATTTGCTACCGACGAAGAGAAGAAAGTGGGGGTTGGGAAGGGGAGGGAGAAACCGAAAATTTAAATGCCCGGTCGCCGCTACAAATCGACCTTCATCGATTTTCAGGGTACCTTTACCTTACGGGCACGCCCCGTCAATGATCCCGATGAGGAGACAAAGCATCCGCTGTCATTTCCGCAAGGGAATCGATTGGTGCAGCTGGAAACTAATTGCCATAGTAGTAATTATGCTCTCGCTCTGCTTGACCGCGGCATTAACGTACGTTGCAGGTAATTATTCGCATATTGCATTCCGTACAATGGTACCTTTCTTTGCTCTATCTCTCTTATATACACTATCAAATATAATCCTAAATTCATATAAAAATATAATATAGTTTTAAGACTTCTATTTAAAAAATACATCATATTTAATCAACAATACAGATATCATGAAGATATCTTAAATATATATCTAGCTTATGTTTCGATTCTTTTATTGTCTGTGAAGCAATTTTGAAATAATGCGAAATGAGATATACTAACAAGATAATTTCCGATAAACTAACACCTTATCCAATCCTAATTGATTTCTCATTAAGCGTCCAATTTAGTGAACTGGTCGTACCAAGGCACGAAGGCGTGCACGGTCCTGGTGGGCGAGAACACGGACGCGAAGCCGTCGTCGAGCGAAGCGAACAAGACGTCCACGTCGTCCACTTCAACGTCGTCGCAATCGGGTGGCAGGACGCGGCAGCCATCATCGTCAGGAGGTAGTATTAGCTCGTCGGATAGCATGTTGCTAGATGGTGTCGTATACAGTCGCAAGCGTAGGGACACGTTTAACGAGCATGCCTTGCACCAAACTGTCGCACCGCCACCCCCTCGTGACCCCGAGGAGCTGTTCTTGATTCCAACCGTCCTCGAGGCCTCGGGGTCCGGGCAGCGATCAGTCCCATTGCATGAGAAGTTCCCCGGTAAGGTTGTGCATGATCCGGAGCATGCAGACGGTCCAGGTCCGGCGAAGGAAGCTGTCGACCGTTCGATCGAAGCTGTCGAGGTCGCCGAGGAGTCGCTTGTCGTGAATGTCTCCGCCACTACTACTAATTACTCGCACGATCATATCACTGTCGCTGTCGATCATCTCACCTCTTCGTCCTCTGTCTCTGTCGGCTCTGGTCATTCTTCCGCATCAACTTCTGAATTCAATCGCGAATCACCCGACGACGAAGTGCCCGGCACGACGTTCTCGGGGCTTTTCACCGAAATTTTCCCGGCCATCGACAAAGACACTGTTGATGTGGTCGAAAAATCGGTGACGCCTGAAGGAGACATTGCCACGAAAGCCCCGATCGCGAAACTCGTCCGCGATGACTTCGCGGATTTCGACCGCGATAACGATAACGCCGGCACGTCCGAAAGTTCGGACATTGGCGAAAGCGGAGACGATATCGAGGCTACGACGTCTGCATCCGACGCGAAGTACGCGAAACTTGGCGCGGATAGCAGCGATTACGACCGAGTAGTTGGCGGAACTACAGAAAATGACAGCAACGTTTCCCCCGTCGATTATAACGGTAATACTGTAGATACTGCCGATAACATTGTAGAAGCTGTAACAGAGGTGCGCTCGATTGAACTAACGGAGGATCAAGGCTCGAACGTAAGTAATTCCAATACGAGCGAACAGTTAGTGTCTGTAGAAATGAATCGAAACGCAGTAGACGCTAGCACGATTTCGTCTAGTATAAACGTAGATGATAAAACGGCATTTAATATATTATTAAATAATGACGAGAAAACTGAAGAATCTGAAGAAGACATAATCAAGATTGAAGATAATCGCTACGATAAGTCTAAAGAAAAAATTAGCTCGGACGAAAACAATAGGTCAGCTGCCTTTACGGAAAATATCTCAAAGACAATAAATATGGCCACAAAATCAGTAGGATCCCAGACGCTGGATATTGTGAAAGAAACACGAGAGCTTTCTCGGGAAAGTTCGTCGTCCGAGTCCGAAGCCTCATTCAATGTCGTTAACGATCCTGAACAGTCCGAGGAACTTCAGAGAGACTATCCCGTACCGATCTACAGCTATGGACAAGACGAGGTAGAGATTGTCGATCTTCATCATAAGAAGCAATCGATCGCAAAAACGAAAGAGCCTACTAAATCATCTGAAATTCTTGATAACAACGCAAAGATGAGCATCGTTTCTCGAAAAGAACATAGAGATAAAGACGATCTACGAGTTATCATGAGAGAGGAAAACGACGACGAGCTGTTTCGGAAGTTTAAAAAGAAGTTCCATGAAGCGGCTGTCGAAGCCAACGAGCCCGTTAAAAATCCCTCGTTGATTAGAACTAATTACAATTCACCTCCAGCGAACACTCTGCATGAAACTGTGCATGATTCATCGGACAACGCGTCACCTAGGTTCCCCTCTAATACAGACCATCTGTCAAACTCACCGATCGCCCAACGGATACAGATCGTAGAGGTGCCCGTATACCGCGATGTTCATTCCGTCCCATCATCGTCTTCATCGTCATCATCACCGCATCGAGTGCTCATAAACGTAACGATCGCCGCCGACAATCCATCTGCCGCTTCTTCAAGACCGCTGTATGTCCTCTCGGTGTCGGTGCCGACAGAGGACGGCTATTTGTCCGGGATTAACATCGATCAAGCGCAGGTGCTGCCTGCAGCGAGCATGAAAAAAATCCCTGCTAAGGACGCCGAGTCGATAAACGCGGTCGATACGCGATTACCGCCACCGCCACAACCACCTGCCTCGCCCCCGGCGCCCATCTGGGCCGGTGGCGAGTGCGAGTGCTCCTGTCCGTGCATGGGCTCGTCCTCGGACGAATGGGACAATTTTTCAGCGATCGACGACAATCTGGAGCAAGAGCTCGAGAGCGTTAATGCCACTCTGTCAGACGACGAATTTCTAGAATCGAGAGAGGAATCGATGGATGAGAGGAAGCAAGATGCGGAATCAGCGGCGAAAGATTCGGCGAAAATCAATGCGACGATTTCCACCACCGAAAACTATTATCCCTCGTCAATGGACGACATCGCCAAGAATAACGAATCAATCGACGGGACTTCTACTTCTACTTATGAGCCAGAAGTAAGCACCGACTCGTGGGCTTGCTCGGGGAGCACTGCGCTCCCCCCCGAGCCTACTATACTGATCCTCGAAGGTGAGGCCACGTTTACAATTGTTTCTCTTTTTCTCTCTCTTTCTCTCTTTCTCTCTTTCTTTCTCTCTCTGTCTTATTTTTTTTTCAAATCATTTCTTTTCAAACACGTTCTACTTTCTCTCTTTCGTCTTCGCTAACGCTCATCTTTTTGCTTGTTGTTTACTCGTGGATTTGTCAAATGCGAGTTTACATTGACTTGCCTGTATTGTAGTGATTAGTTGTACTTTAGTGTTGTAGTAATTGTAATGTGCTTTGGATAGTGGGTAGCGTTATTTGGATAGCGTAGATTGCTGTAGTAGACACATAATTTTAAGTCCATTCCAGTGCACGAAATGTCACAATTAAATAGCCGTTAGCGATTATTATACCGAATATATATAATATATTTCACAAGAGTAATTTCAGAAGAAAATTAATAGTTGTCGGTCCAATGTATTGTGAGAAATAACTGAATGTATTGTGAGAATTAACTAAAAGTATGAATCAAATAATACGTTTAAAAATGAGAGAAGAAGATGTAATGCTCATAAAATACCAACACGCATAAGCATCCATCCATTAGACCTGAGAACATTTTAACTTCCGTCGGGTAATGTAATCTTGATGCCTCGTTAACATAAATTAATGCCAACTTTTTTTTTAAGAAACCAACTGTTTGATATAATCTGTCGCAATTTGATCAACACAAATCACTCGTTGACCGTAGATAGATAATTTAATTAATTGTACTAAAATTACTAACGGCAATCCGGACTTACATTACCCGGCAGAAAGTCGAGCTCGATCGTGCGTTTTTCTGATCACGACGTATGGATCCGCAGGTGCGCGAACTTTCCCGGCGCGGTCTTTCCCGCCCGACGGGACGACCTTCGCTCAGGTCGGTTTAGGACAGAAGCTAAGCAAGGAGATACCGCCGTACGGCTACTGGAACATGCAGTTTTATCAATCGGAGGCCGCCTACGTGCGTTTCGACTACAGCATTCCACGTGGTGCCAGCATCGGCGTGTACGCGAGAAGGAACGCGCTGCCCACCCACACGCAGTACGATCTTCTGGAGGTTCTCAGCGGCTTCAAGGCTCGGACTACCAGGGCGTCCCATGTTAGTGTTATTGTATGTGCCGCTACCCTATTTTTATTTCACTCTTTTATACAAAATCGATAGTCTCTGGTAGACTATTTTTTTTTTCATTTTTTTACTCACCCCCTAGTTGAACAGCGATCAAATGTGTATGCGCATGGTCTGGCCAGATAATAAATTTACGCTTTTTTCACAGCCCTCGATTAAGAAGGAGGTAACTCAGTATATGGAGCCGGGACACTGGTTCCTGTCGCTCTACAACGACGACGGAGATCCCCATGAAGTCTCGTTTATCGCTGTGATCGCCGAGGATATGACGCATAATTGCCCGAACGGTTGCAGCGGCAAGGGCGAGTGTCTCTTAGGTCATTGTCAGTGCAATCCTGGTTTCGGTGGCGAAGATTGCAGCGAGAGTGTTTGTCCTGTTCTCTGTAGCCAAAGAGGTGAGTTTGTTTTACCGAAAAATATCTCTATCGGAAATTAATCAATAACCGACTCAATTGTATCCTTGAATATTAAAAATAATTTACATATTTATTTTTTTTTTCTATATTTTCTTATATTTATTTATGTATCATATTACATGCAATTATATTATTGCAGAAATATTGAGAAATTCACGATAATAGGATTTAGTCGTTTCGTTGAAATAATATTAAATTGAAAAATCCGTATTGGAATTTTAATAAACTTCAAAAATCGGTTATTGGTTACGAGTTTGATTAAAATCCTATTGAAACAGAAAGAAATAATGATTGGAAAGTTTTTAACCGATTAAAAAAAAACCAAGCGCCTGGTTACGGCTTTGTATATTGATTTCTTTTAAATAGAAATCAAAGCCGATTATACGTTTCACTTGCTTTGATATTGCATTTTTGCAAACAGTCGCGATACATGCTAATTTTTTTATGCTTAACGCACTAACTTCTCCTAGTACTCTCGGTAGGCAAGATACGTGTCTATACGTGATATTTATGAAATAAAGTAAAATTGAATTGGAAAGTAGAATACAACAATAACTCAATGCAATTTCATCATTTCGGAATGAAATTGAATTGCGAGTATTCTGCGTATAGACAAGATTTCTCAGATTGCTACATCGCCGTCGAATTTCAATTGTTAAAAGTTTCTATTCGAAAACAACTTTGCGAGTCTCGCACACGCGCGTAAATAATTCCACGTCAAATAATCCCGTCGTGCCGATTTAGGCGAGTACATAAACGGCGAGTGCCAATGCAATCCCGGCTGGAAGGGCAAGGAATGCTCTCTGCGACACGACGAGTGCGAAGTGCCCGACTGCAACGGCCACGGTCACTGCACCAACGGCAAATGCAACTGTGTACGCGGCTACAAGGGGAAGTATTGCGAGGAAGTTGACTGTCCGCATCCGACTTGCTCGGGCCACGGTTTCTGCGCCGAGGGCACGTGCATCTGTAAAAAGGGTTGGAAAGGAGCCGACTGCAGTCAAATGGATAAGGAGGCACTGCAGTGCCTGCCGGACTGCAGCGGTCACGGAAACTTCGATCTCGAGACCCAGACCTGCCTCTGCGAGCCCATGTGGTCCGGTGATGATTGCTCGAAAGGTGAGATGACAAATTAACGAATGTTATTATTTATGATCGGAAATTTATATATCGAGCGTTTTGCGAAAAAATAATACTTGCTCGTCTCAATAAAAAACCAAAATTTTTATCATAAAAGGCATTACAAAAAAAAATGATTATTGATTCTATTTTACAGATTGAAATTTCATCTTTTTTATATTTTTCTATTTTCAAATATTTTTTATTAATGATTATATTTTATCCTCTGCTTTTAGATTTTTGTATTTTTTAAAATAATTATAAGAAATATGTGTCTCTCAGAACTAAGTATCGACAAATATGTCCGTATCAATATCTATAATGTTAATTTAAAAATCAGAGATATCGTTAACTGGGGACCGTAACCGCGATATAAAATTGATTTAAAGATATCGATCGATATGCTCGTACACCCGTTTCGTATTTTCGAAAACTGATAATTCCTGTGTTTTCAGGTGTCAGAAAGATGGCAACAAAACTTACGAAGTAAAATTTTCACTTTCTCTTGATTAACTATCCTTTTTTCTCATAACTTCATTCACTTGTCGGACGATTATCGCTTTACTCCCGGCTTCTGAGTGTCGCTTCGAGACTAATACATTCGCGTACTCTCAGATGAATCAGCCGCTTTCACAGCTTCCCGTTCCGCTGTGTTTCAGAATTATGTGATCTCGATTGCGGGCCTCACGGACACTGCGTAGACAACGCCTGCGACTGCTTGCCAGGTTGGTCCGGCGAGCTTTGCAATCTGAAGCAATGCGATCCTCGTTGCAATGAGCACGGACAATGTAAGAATGGCACGTGTCTGTGCGTCACCGGATGGAACGGAAAACACTGCACGATGGAGGGCTGTCCGAATTCTTGTTCCGGTCATGGACAGTGCAGGGTGTCAAACGACGCGCAATGGGAGTGTCAATGCTACGACGGCTGGGACGGCAAAGATTGCAGCGTACTTTTAGAACAGAACTGCAACGACGGACGAGACAACGATAAAGGTACATGTTTCAACATAATACTCGTATATTATGCGTATAATATTTGTTAAATATATAATCCACATATTTTATTTTAAGATTAAAACATTGAAATGCCAGAAAATAAAAATAAAGTGTAAATTGGAATTTTAGACAATTGCATTACTACTTATATGGAATATTTGTTCGAAATTAAGCATCTAATTGAAACATTCATCAATGGAAGTGTATTCCTTTTTTGCGACCTTTACGGAGAATAATGGCACTTTCAGATGGTCTCATTGATTGCGCGGATCCGGAATGTTGCTCCAATCACATATGCCGCAGCAGCCAGCTGTGCGTCTCAGCGCCCAAGCCAATCGATATATTGCTACGGAAACAGCCACCCGCCATTACCGCTTCCTTCTTCGAGAGAATGAAGTTCCTAATCGACGAGGGCAGTCTGCAGAACTACGCTCGTCAGGAGACCTTCAACGAGAGGTAAGTTCGTCGTCGATCGTCGCGAGACTTTCCCCTCTTGTCCTTGCGACCAATGTCGTCGTCATGATCCTCGTCGTCTCCGCGTTGAAATCATTAGCGAAAATTGTCCGTCCCGATGTCGATGTTGCGTCTACAGTCTGCGTGTCTCTGAGTAAAAAAATAAAGTAGAAGATTCAACACACATGCGCGATCAGGAAAAAATGGCAGCATTAAATAGGAACATACTAGCCATTGGTGCTATGCGCGATATTACTTGCGTTCATCATATATTTCCTTTACATACGGATTTCTTGAACAATATAGAATCAATTTTTTTTGGCAAAAGTTTTAATAAATACTAGTTTTCTGTAATTTTTTATTAAGGTTTACATAAAAATTCAGTTGACTTAAAATTCAATTTCCGAGATGTTTAATATTTCATAAATCAGAAACTCTATTGCGATATCTCAACACGTTCGTATTTTATTGATATCACATCTATATTCTAAATTAGGCAAAGGATCCCAATGTGACAAAGGAAATGCATGGAGAACCTGCGAAAGCTTGTGTAGAGCGTGAATCGCGAAGGTCGAGAAAGTTGCATGCTCGATGGGACGACTAAAGGTTATTAATAATACGAGTACAGGTCCCTTTGACTCGAGCCGGGAACCGAATCGGTTGAAAGATTAGTCGGACAAAGCCGATCGATCTCTATTTTTAACTAAAGCGGGAAGAAACGCGCACATAGGAGGGTCCCAGCTCTTCTCGCAGGGATCCCAGTAATCTTTATAGCTGCCTTTGCGCGCATTTATTACAAGATACACGCATACCCCTGTATATCTCTCTCTTTCTTTTTCTCGCAGTACACGTGTATTACCGTACAGACAGAGTACAGACACGAGGATGCATATATATAGATTTCAATATATTATATCTGCGTTGTTGTGACCCGTGTGAAATCACATCCCAACAGTTTTCTACATATGTTTTGTACGTACGTGTGCGCGAGCGTGTGCCCTGCACTAACCCTCTTCCCCCTTTCTTCCTCCCTCCACATTTATCCATGTATATTTCTCTTTCTCTCTTGTTCATTCTTTTTCTATCTACCCCAAAAGTCTTTATCGCAATCCCTTACGATCTATCTCTATCGGTATATCAATCCAAGCCCCGTTCTTTCGAATCTTTCTCTTTTTCTCTTTCTCATGTCCGTCCGAGTGGAGCTTGCGTGAATGTGTGAGTCCATGTTTAAGCCTCGAGCTTTTCGCTCATTGCTGACTAAAAGGGAGGGAAGGGGGTTATATACAATAACCGGACAGTTTTTTTTTTCTCCCCGACGCGTCAGGTCCATCGGAAGGGACCGGCAAATTCTAGTAATCCGAGACGCGACGTATCGAAATTCTTCGTAAAAGCGGAAAGTTTTCCTCAGACTCCTCTATATTTTGATTCCCACCTTTGGAAATCCTTCGCTTTTTTTTCTCTTTCTATCTCTCTCTCTCTCTCTCTTTTTTCGACCTCCTTCGTACTTGACCTCTCGTCCTCGATCCTGCGTCCTCCTTCTATTTTCGCCTTTAATCGCATCATTTTAACTCGGCTCTGTTTTATCCGTGCTGCCCGGTCAGTATGTTCTGGAATCACTTCAACACAAGGTAAGAAAAACCAGACGTCGATAAAGCTCGACTAAATGAACGAGGATCCGTAATAAGATCCGTCGTAGCAGTAATAAGAACTTGCTGCTGTTTGATAATATTTTCGTGCATTTGGTATCTCTCTCACATATGTGTAAATACATCCTGCATCCTGATCACGACGAGCCGTGCGTGTGTGCGTTCGACTGTGCTTGAGAAGTTTGGCCTCATTCGATTTGATTGAATCACGGCAGGTCTCTCTCTCTCTCTCTCCTCCGATCATGTATTTTTGCACCTCAAATTTATATTATCAGTTGTTCTCAAGATGATAGAAAAGGCAAAATCATGGATTTATAAGCGTGAGAAAGAAACATTTCTCACTTTCACTAATACCGATGACATGTAAATGTTTTTTATCAACACTTGAGAGCAACGAATTGTAAAAAAAATGAGATGTGTGCTTCATACGATATACATGATCTAAGAGTCTCTATGTGGACAGTTGGAACACATTCCACGATCGTTCGAGCTCGCACTTTGTCCTCCATTATTGTTGAACACATTCTCGTGTTGCATGGTTCAGTTACCTTTTGATTCCTACGTTGTGTTTCGTGCCTTTTACGTTGAGCTTCCGACTTTGTGTTATTCGTGTATATATATATATATATATTGACTGTACGTATATAAGTAGTGATTTGTCCTCGACCATAAAACGCTCCAGTGCCAAAGAGGCACGATTATGAAGCTTCGATTATCGTATTCCGTTGCTCGTTCGAGAAGAGCAACACAACTACAATCTATAGTGACAGAGAGATCACCTGAAACATCGCGATGAAAATAATGCAACGATTACATTCGCCGTTACTCGTGCAGCGACAAACAAAAGAGTCGAGTGGTTCCTCTTTAGCACTGAGAAGCAGAATTTGCGAAAGTACGTCGCGCTGAATATTCATCGCGTATTTGCATACACGATTGGCGATCGATGCTCGGTATCGAGATACTTATTAACCGGCGAAAGAATGCTGTCACATGTAAATGGACGCGCATTATCCTCCGAGGTGCAAATTTTCCTCGATTGCTTCTGTCTTTTTAAACGCCCGGGAAGACGGCACTTTGCGTGTAATTATAGCGATTCTCCCCATCATAAACATTGATTTGTCGATAATCCCAGAATATAGTTGTGTTTTGCGTCTTTTATGTTGAGCTTCCGACTTTGTGTTTTTCGTGTATATATATATATATATATATTGACTGTACGTATATAAGTAGTGATTTGTCCTCGACCATAAAACGCTCCAGTGCCAAAGAGGCACGATTATGAAGCTTCGATTATCGTATTCCGTTGCTCGTTCGAGAAGAGCAACACAACTACAATCTATAGTGACAGAGAGATCACCTGAAACATCGCGATGAAAATAATGCAACGATTACATTCGCCGTTACTCGTGCAGCGACAAACAAAAGAGTCGAGTGGTTCCTCTTTAGCACTGAGAAGCAGAATTTGCGAAAGTACGTCGCGCTGAATATTCATCGCGTATTTGCATACACGATTGGCGATCGATGCTCGGTATCGAGATACTTATTAACCGGCGAAAGAATGCTGTCACATGTAAATGGACGCGCATTATCCTCCGAGGTGCAAATTTTCCTCGATTGCTTCTGTCTTTTTAAACGCCCGGGAAGACGGCACTTTGCGTGTAATTATAGCGATTCTCCCCATCATAAACATTGATTTGTCGATAATCCCAGAATATATTTTCAAAACACTTGGATCCAAAACAAAATATTATACAAAGTCTTCCGTATTTTTATTTTGTTATGTTATTTTAGTAAATTTAATTTTTATACCATATAATCCACAATATATTAAAAATGTTATGTGTTATTAAAATTATATTATATTTATAATATTGATTTTTTTTTTTTATCTCTATTTTTTATTTACGAGACTTTTAAAAAATGAACACTATAAACATAATATCCATCTTTAGCATTAGACATATTTAATAAAGAATTATAAGAATGTCTCAAACATTTCATTAGACGTTATTAAGTGACAGTATCTCTTTTCGTCGGTATATATTCACTCTAAAAAAAATTTCTAAAGAGTGTGAACAGTAAAACGTAGTAGATTGAGATTAGTCTAGAGAATAGCGGTTGCTTTGTTGGTAGTGTACGACGAAGCACACAAAGAAGTGATCTTATCCGATTTGTTCGTAAAGTTTCTTGCAATTAACACGATCGTTATCTAACAGCCGATCGGCCGTCATACGCGGCCGCGTCGTTACTCATCTCGGCACGGGACTGATGGGAGTGCGGGTCAGTACCAGCACACCGCTGGAAGGTTTCACCCTTACAAGAGACGACGGCTGGTTCGATCTCCTGGTGAACGGCGGCGGTGCCGTAACTCTGCAGTTTGGCAGATCGCCCTTCAAGCCGCAGAGTCATATCGTCTTCGTGCCTTGGAACGAGGTAGGCGTAAATTTGAATTAATCACTGTACTATATTCAAATACTAAACTGGAGATTAAGATTGAATCAGCCAAAATTGACGAAACTTTTTAACGGAGTTAAATTTTGCTATGTAAGATGAATGACTTAATAATATCTTTATTAAAATGCGTGATTAAGTTTATTGTTCCAGCAGCTTCTAAAATGCATATCTGTTTCCTTCCAGGTCGTCATAATCGATAAGATTGTTATGAGCACCGCCGAGGAGAAGCCACCCATCCACGTTCCACATGCATGCGCCGCTCACGATTACGATCTTATGAAGCCGGTCGTCTTGGCTACCTGGAAGCATGGCTTCCAAGGAGCTTGTCCGGATAAGAGCGCCATTTTGGCGGAGTCTCAAGTTATACAGGAGAGCTTGCAAATACCCGGAACGGGCTTGAATCTAGTATATCACAGTTCGCGAGCGGCCGGTTATCTGTCCACCATACAACTGCAGCTGACTCCGGAAGTCATACCAGCGACCTTAAATTTGATACATTTGAGAATCACGATCGAGGGTATACTCTTCGAGAAGACCTTTGAGGCCGATCCAGTGATCAAGTTCACCTACGCATGGAACCGCTTGAACGTCTATCGCCAACGCGTCTACGGAGTTACAACTGCTATGGTAAAGGTTGGCTACGAGTATAGCGATTGCAAGGACATTATTTGGGACGTTCAAACGACGAAGTTGAGCGGTCACGACATGTCCATCTCGGAAGTCGGCGGTTGGAACTTGGATATTCATCATAGATACAACTTCCACGAGGGTATCTTGCAGAAAGGAGACGGCTCAAACATTTATCTGAAGCATAAGCCAAGAGTTATTCTCACCACGATGGGAGACGGTCATCAGAGACCGTTGGATTGTTACGATTGCGACGGGCAAGCTTCCAAGCAGCGTCTCTTAGCGCCCGTTGCTCTTGCCACTGCAGCAGACGGCTCCATCTTTGTCGGTGATTTCAATCTAGTTAGGAAGATTCTCGTTGATGGAACAGTCAGAACTGTAGTTAGACTAAAGTACGTAATTGATATTGATTAATTTTACGCGATAGTTTCTTAAATCTTTTTGGATTGCTCTAAAATCTTTTAGCTCTACAATATTTTTTAACTTTATATTTTTGTTCTTCCAGCGCAACCAGAGTATCATATCGTTATCACATCGCTCTGAGCCCGCTGGACGGCGTTCTCTACATATCGGATCCAGAATCTCACCAGATCATTCGCGTACGTGACACCAACGATTACACGGATCCCGATCATAACTGGGAAACAGTAGTCGGTTCCGGGGAACGTTGTCTTCCCGGCGACGAAGCTCATTGCGGCGACGGTGCGCTCGCACGAGATGCTAAACTCGCTTATCCCAAGGGCGTTGCCGTCTCCGCCGATAACGTCTTGTACTTTGCCGATGGCACGAATATACGAATGGTTGACAGAGACGGTATCATTACCACCGTGATCGGCAATCATATGCACAAGTCGCACTGGAAACCCATACCCTGTGAAGGAACATTGAACGTCGAAGAGGTTCATCTACGCTGGCCGACCGAATTGGCGATCAATCCCCTAGACAATTCGCTACACATGATCGACGATCACATGGTTCTCCAGTTAGCGCCGGACGGTCGTGTCAAAGTCGTTGCCGGTCGTCCACTCCACTGCGCCTCTCCGTCAGCCTCATTCGACACAGAACTCGCGACTCACGCCACTCTCGTGATGCCGCAGAGTATCGCATTCGGTCCATCAGGCAATCTCTATATTGCCGAGAGCGATTCCCAGAGGATCAATCGCGTTCGCGTGATCGGTACCGACGGCAAGATCTCACCGTACGCCGGTGCTGAGTCCAAGTGCAATTGCCTGGAGCGCGGTTGCGATTGCTTTGAGGCCGATCACTATCTGGCGTCCACGTCCAAGTTTAATACTATATCCGCCGTGGCGGTTTCACCCGACGGGGTAGTGCACATTGGCGACCAGGCCAACTATCGTATTCGCTCGGTAACGGCGAGCATTCCTGATGCAAGCGGCGCACGAGAATATGAGATCTACGCACCCGATACGCAAGAAATCTACGTGTTCAATCGGTTCGGCCAACACATCGCCACGAAGAACATTCTGACCGGCGAGACTGTGTATCTCTTCACATATAACGTCAACACCAGCAACGGCAAGCTCAGCACTGTGACGGATGCGGCTGGTAACAAGGTCTTTTTGCTGAGAGATTACAGCAGCCAAGTGAACTCAATCGAGAACACAAAGGGACAGAAATGCAGACTGAGAATGTCCAGGATGAAGATGCTGCACGAGCTGAGCACGCCCGACAATTACAACGTCACTTTCGACTATCACGGGCCCACTGGCCTGCTGAAGACGAAGCTCGATAGTACCGGCCGCAGCTACGTTTACAATTATGATGAATTTGGCAGGCTGACCAGCGCAGTGACACCTACGGGCAAGGTAATCAGCTTGACATTTGATCTTAGCTTGAAAGGCGCCATAGTCAAAGTTGGACAGAACAACAGGAAACCCATCTCGATGCTGATCAAAGGATCATCCGTTGTCACGAAGGTCGGAGAGGCCGAGCAGAGGACGACAGTTCTCGCCGATGGCTCGGTTGGAAGGGTAACACCATGGGCTCACACTGTCAGCACCGACAGTATGCCATACTCAATCCTGGCTGAGATCGAGCCTCTATTAGGCGAAAGCTATCCCGTGCCGGCTAAACAGAGAACAGAAATTGCTGGTGATCTGGCTAATCGTTTCGAATGGCGATATTTCCTCCGAAAGATTCAAGGAAATAAGAATCGCGGAAACTCGAAGGCAATTGCCCAGGTCGGCAGGAAGCTTCGAGTCAATGGCGAGATTCTGCTATCTCTCGAGTACGACAGAGAAACAAATACCGTAGCTGTGTTTATGGACGATCGGGTAGAATTGCTGAATGTCACATACGACAGAACCGCTAGACCCGTTAAATGGGGACCGAGAAACGGTATCTTTGCCGGCGTCGAACTGGAATACGATCGATTCAGCAGATTGACTAGCTGGACATGGGGTGACATCAGCGAAACGTATGGCTTTGATAGAGCGGGTCGATTGTACGAGATCAAGTACAGCGACGGTACGTCGATGGTGTACGCCTTCAAAGACATGTTTAGCAGTTTGCCGCTGAAGGTCACTACGCCGCGTGGAAGCGATTATCTTCTCCAATACGACGAGGCAGGAGCATTGCAATCGCTCACTACACCGAGGGGACACATTCATACATTCTCTCTTCAAACATCTCTAGGGTTCTACAAATATCAATACTACTCGCCAATGAATAGACATCCATATGAGATTCTGTACAATGATGACGGTCAGATTCTTGCTAAGGTGTATCCTCATCAAAGCGGGAAAGTCGCTTACGTCTATGATCACGCTGGAAAACTCGAAACCACGCTTGCCGGTAAGTAGTACATATAATTTCACTAAAATAATATTATATTTTTATTTCTTCTCCTTATTGAATTTTGCTAATTGTGATTAAGAAAAAAATATTGTCGAGTTATAAACGTTATGAAATTATTAGACACAATTTGTTAATTAAAAATTGCAAATGTTTTGTGTGTATAGGATTGTCCTCAATACATTACACCTATCAAGAAACGACCAGTCTAGTGCGCAGCATTGACATCAATGAACCAAACTTTGAGATGCGTATCGAGTACAAATATCACGCCGGCATCGTAAAGGACGAAAAAATCAAATTCGGCAGCAAGAGCGGTATGGATAACGCTCATTATCGTTATCAGTACGACGGTAACGCGCGCATATCCGGCATCGAGGTCGATATCAACGGCAAACAACTGCCTCAGCTTCGTCTCAAATACAACCAAAATCTCGGTGTACTGGAAGGCGTCGGTGATCTCAGGATATACAGAAATGTCTTTAACCGATCAGTTATGCAGGACAGCAGCAAACAATTCTTCACGGTCACGGACTACGACGAGCATGGTCGCGTCAAGACGGTGCTGATGAACATCCGATCATTCGATGTGTTCCGTATGGAGCTCGAGTACGACAATCGTAATCGCATCAAGATGAGGAAACTCACGATCGGAAAGGAATCGATGGAAAAGAAGGAATGGTCCAGAATGGAGAAGATCACGTATAACGCAGACGGTCATGTACTCGAGGTAGCGGACACCGAGAACAATTGGCAATACGCGTACGATGAAAACGGTAACGTGATTGGCGTGACTGAGCATAACGAGAAGATCGTCTTGGGCTACGACAGTGGCGATCGAGTGGTCCAGTACGGTGACGTTGAGTTCAACTCGTACGATGGACGCGGCTTCGTCGTGATTCGTGGCGAACACAAATACAGGTAAGCGTTTTTATTTTGAAAATTAAAAAGAGATCTCCGTAAAATATAATTACATTTTATTAAAATATAACAAATTTTGTATATGTATACGGAAAATCTATCTTTTTCGCAGCAAATTTTGCAAAAAATTTTTCTGCCGAAGAACACTGATCTAAAAATACTATATTGTAATAGATACACACCATAATATACATATATTACCAACTTTGTTTTCTTCAGATACAACTCGCGCGGTCAGCTGATTCATGCATCGGAGCATAAGAAATTCCAAATTTGGTACTTCTACGACGATCGCGGCCGATTGGTGTCGATGAACGACGATCGAGAAAACATCACTCAATTCTTCTATGCGAATCCGAAAACTCCAGATCTAATAACGCACGTGCATTTCCCGAAGTTGTCCAAAACATTCCGGTTCCTTTACGACTCACGCGATTTTCTGATGACTGTGGAAACGTCCGAGCAACGGTTCTATGTCGCAACGGATCAGAACGGTTCACCTCTCGCTCTTTTCGACACCAATGGCAATCTCATCAAAGAGATGCAACGCACGCCATTTGGCAAGATCATCAAGGATACCAACCCGGACTTTTATTTGCCCATCGATTTCCACGGTGGTCTCTTCGATCCTAATACCAAGTTGATTTATTTGAACAAGAGGCTCTACGATCCGACTGTCGGTCAATGGATGACGCCTGCTTGGGAGCAAATGGCCAACGAACTCACCACACCGACTGACATATTCATCTATCGCTTCCGCAATAACGATCCCGTCAACTTTAAGCAAAACGTCGAGTATATGACAGATCTGGCGAGTTGGCTGAAACTCTACGGCTACGACATCTCAACAATGCTCGGTTCCGAATACACAAAGCAGATGGTGTATCAACCAAGCGCTACCGTCACATCCCCGCAATTGACTCCGGACTTTGGTGTGATGTCCGGGCTGCAATGCATCGTAAATCGCGTTCAAGAGAAGTTCTCCGACCTTGGTTTCGTGCCCAAGCCATTATTGAAACTAGAGCCGAAGACGCGAAATCTGTTGCCGCGAGTGGCCCATCGTCGGGCAGTCTTTGGCGAGGGTATTCTGGTGTCGCGCGTCGGCGGTCGGGCTTTGGTGAGCGTAGTGGACGGCGTGAACAGTGTGGTGCAGGACGTGGTCACGTCCGTATTCAACAACTCGTATTTCCTGCCGCTACACTTCAGTGTGCACGACCAAGATGTCTTTTATTTCGTCAAGGATAACGCGCTGAAAATCCGCGACGACATGGAGGAACTTCATCGTCTCGGCGGCATGTTCAACGTGTCCACGCACGAGACGACAGAGCACGGTGCCGGCACGTGGAAAGAGTTGAGACTGCACAATCCTGACGCGGCGGTGGTGATCAAGTACGGAGCCGATCCTGAGCAGGAGCGGCACCGGATTCTGAAACACGCGCACAAGCGTGCCGTCGAACGCGCCTGGGAGATCGAGAAGCAACTGGTGATGGCCGGTTTCCAGGGTCGGGGAGACTGGTCTAAGGAAGAGAAGGACGAGCTCATCAGTCGCGGCACCGTCGACGGCTACGAAGGCGTCGATATCCACAGCGTACACAGGTATCCTCAGCTCGCCGATGACCCTGGTAACGTCGCGTTCACCCGCGATACCAAGAGGAAGAGGCGAAAGAGCGGCAACAGGCGCAACAGGACTCACAGGCACGACTCGTGATTCGAGGACGCCACGACGCGAGTTCAAAGTATCGCTTGGGACTTGATTCGCGCGTGAAGCGAAGGAACGGAAGAGAAAGAGAGAGAGCCACTGTGTCTCGGAGGAAATGGTAGGACGGTTTTGTCGCCGTAATGTGATTTGCGTAAATCGCAATTTGCGCGAGCGGCCAGCATCGTCGCTCCCTTCTCTCCTCGATCCTCCTCTCGGCCTCTTTCTCTCTCTCATACTCGTCGTCGAAAGGGACGCGAAGATCTATCATAAGCGACGACGAACGATACATCTCGTGTCCAATAATGCAATCTATCGATGTGCCATAAGCGCGTCTATATACGATCGCGAGCGATCTCAAATTTTGGATCAATTGATGCGTGCAGAAACGACGGGTGTGAGAACGGATCGCGAAGTGTCAAAATTAACCTAGTCGCATTATTAACGAAATGAAGAATATAAAGCTTGTTATATGGTGATTAGTTTATAGAGAAAGAAAAGAGAGAAAGGGAGAGACGAGCGAGAGAGAAAGAGAAAAGGAGATGGCGAATATAGATGCATATAGAGATGCAAGACAGGATAAAAGTGCGTGCGTAGACTTTTAAGGTGCCGTCCGCGACGAAATCGATAGTGTTTTTTGCGAAAAAGAAGATGAGAGAGAAATGTACGTGTCTTGGACTTTCGTCATAGATCATTGGTAAAAATCGAGCTGGTGTTAATTCACGCAACAGGGTCTATAAGACACGCGTATATATACGCACGCACACACGAGATAGGAGCGTGAGACGAGGTCAGCGCATCGAAGTTAGAAGATGCGAGGCGAGGGAGAAGATAATTTTCAATATGAAAGATATTCGGAAATTTTCGCGGGGTGAGAGAACATCAGTTCTCTCTGTTCGAAATGTTCTCACCTCGCATCTCTAGTCGGGACGCATTCATCCGAGAATGGACAAGTGAGAGTGAGAGAGAGAAAGAGCAAGAGAGAGAGAGATAGAGAGAAAGAGAAAGAGACAAACGTGGGGAATAGATATATACGACAGATATTTTTAACATGGCGCAAATTGGTGTACTAGGTGCGAGACGAGCAATTGTAAATATAGCTACACTCGAACTTAATAGTAAATGTAGATAAAGTATCGTAATGTGTAAAAGAAATGCGCGCGAGAACGGTCGTAAACACAAGTGGAACTGTCGATACCGCTTTTTTATATGTATACAAAGAAGAATACACATGAGTCAACACTTGCATAAAGATATATAGGAATTTACGTCCCCGAAATATACGCGAACGGGAGAAATAATATGGGGAAAGTCGTGAAATTATCGGACGCGTCGCGATTCTATTCTTTTGTTTTGATAAAAATGTGAAAAACGTAGGAAATTTTGTTAGGAGAAAACATTAGCGTCAAACGGATGGTTCACGTTAATCTGGACCCAGGCCTACGCACACAATTGACACACGTACATACACACATACATAGATGTAACCACACTATCGCTTTAAATCGGCATACGTATCGTACGATCGGCGATGTCGTCTCATCGATTTTGCCGGCACGTACAAATGCATAATTGGAGCCAAGTATAAATACGGCACCTAGAATCGAAATCAAGTCAAGTCTAAGAGCCATAGAGTTTATTTTAAATATAATTTCATACTTAAAATAACGTAAGTTCAAATGGAGTCTTCGAGACGTTAGATATATGGAACAACACCTTGATTTTTCAAGAATAAAATTAATAATCAATGTGAATTAAACGATAAAATATTAAGCTATATATAATAGGCACATTAGAAAATGATTAAGAAAATGATAGTTATTAATTTTATTGCTGCAAAGCTGTCGCACTGTCCCAATTATCCGCTCAATTGTCTCACTTGAGCATAAACTTTGTAGATTTTAAACTTGACGAATATTTCGATTATGAAAGAAGAGGGTGCCTGAGGTATAAGCGAATCTACCGATTCGTCGTAGATAGCGTAGACACTTGTAAATAGGCATCACGTAAACGAGTAAGAATTACTATTGTTACATAACATCCTTATGTAACGAAAACCGACGTGACGAGACGAACGACAGTCATAACGGGATGTGTCGAAGTAATAATGTCCAGAATAATAATAATAATAATAATAATAATAATGATGATAATATGATAACGCGATAAGAGTAATAATAAATATAGAGTAATAATATTAATAATAATAATAAAATAATAAATAATAATAATAATAATAATGGAATACGATAATATTACCATTGTGTACGAGAAATACCCCGCCTATCTTTCTACTAAAAATGAAAAATTATTTTTTGAATTGTGTCGTCGAGAGAAGAAAAGTCCTATGTAACCGTGTATATGTGGGATCGCCCTGTGAAGAGAACCTCACCCCGCGCTCCACCGAAGAGAGTACCCGGCAAAAAATAGGATTTAGCAAGAATCCATGCAGAGATTTATTTCAAGTTTTAAATTTCGAATTCTCAAAATAGAGCATTGGAGGTTTGCGATTATTGAATTCTTTTTTATAACTTTTCTCATTTGTGTCAAATTATTTTTATTTTCATCAGGAATAATCAAGAAATTGTCAATAATTAAAAAAGAAATTATTCAGAATTAAATTCGACATCAGTATTTAATTACTAGTATTTTAATTCCGCAAAAATTGTTAAACTTAATTTCGATTTCAAAGATCAAGTATTTAATTTTATCAAACTCTCTCGCGATTCTTTTAATTCGTCTATTTTTTCAGGGTACAACCTTGACCCCTCCTCTCTATAACTGATATAGCTGAATTTGTCGGTGTTTATCAATATTGGGTAAATAAGAAAAAAAAAAGGTAGATCGAAGTCTGTGGTTCGGGTCGAATAAAGTAACCAATTAAATAGAAAGTAAAGATGCAAAAAAAAAACGAATATAACGCATAATATATATAGGGGTACACGGTGAGCCAACGTGCGAGCCCACGCAGCTCCACCACGTTGTGTTCTACGTAGGCGATATATAATTAAAAAAAAATACATAATCATAACTGCAAACGTACGTATTAGTTGACGAATTGACGTGGGGTATAGCAAACGGTTAAGGGAATGTGCTAGTGAATCTTACAGGTAACATCGCTGTACATATCTGTTGTGTATAGCCTACTGTCTCGCGAAAGTAGTCTTCACATCCTCGCATAGAAAAAAATTTCCACCAGAGAATTTTAGCGGCGAGATGACATTGATTTTGCAATATTTAAGTCAAGTACCACAACTGTCATATCTTTAAAATCTTCCGCATCATTGTTTGAATCAAAGAGACTTCTTTGCAAAAAAAAATTAATTGAGAAAGAGAAAGAATTTGATAGAATTCGTATATGTGTATTTTATATCGTAACAAATTTTCCATAATTGCAAACGTGTCGCTGAAATTCTTATGCTCTTCGTCAAATATTCCGTCTAAAGAAAGATTTTTTTTCGTTAATCGCCTTTTCCGGAGGGAAACCTGAGGTTGGACGAGGCATATCAATCTGTGATTGATCCTGTATCATGTGATGCAGCGACTAAATTTTATTCTCCGTATAAATAGAACAAGCAATAGGTCGAAAACTTAATACTTTAACGCGGAAAATTGCTCAGTCATCGAAACCTCGGGCTCGATTTTAAACTGTAGTAAAATTGTTTCTTCGTATTATTGTAATCTCAAGCGAATAATTTTCATTTATAATTTCACATATTGAAACGTATGTGTATTAGAGTAATATTTAAGAGAAAACTATAAAAATTATCTATTCAAGATTAAAAAGTGGTGGGAAAAAATATCGAGATAATTTCACCTGATAACTAAAAAATTAAATTTTATTCCATTCGACGCGAAAATGATCAGAGAGCTGGACTACGACCGATTCGTTAATATTATTTTATATATATATATATATTTTGCTGTGAAAAATTAGAAAATTTAAAAATCTCACATCGGAGTAGACCATCATTCTTATAAAACGGACGTGTGTAATTAACTTTAAACTAATCGAATTTAATAACGTGGCAAGATTGCCTCTTCGGTGATGTTTCCGATTGTCGCCTCGGGTAACCCGCATTCCCTCGATATTACGTTCTTAATGATTTCCTCGGCTCTCTTGGAGCACGAGGGGATAAAATCCCCTCCGTAGCAGCGCTTGTTACTGAGTTGTCTATTAATACGCCGTTATCCGACACGCGCGCGTTATTGTATAGTTTATAATAGAAACGCTCGGCATGTGCGGCAGCGTTTCGTCAACGCCTCGAACGAGAGTAACCCAGGCGAACGATTTTCCGTTGCAAGCGTTTTTCTATGTGTACTCGTCTACTCGCAAAACGATACGTAAAAACGGGAGAGAGAAAAAGAAAAAAAAACGATACGACGTTAAAAAGTACTCGAGTTAACTTTACGCTTAGCGCATGTTTCCTTCGAGCGCAAGAGAGCCGCGGGTGAATTCCGTCTGCCAACCTTTTCTTTTCTTTGCGAAACTTTTAATGTAGTCTCATTAAGTGGCCTAACAAAAATGTATTCGACCGAATCTATGCAAGATAAGAATTGCAGTTTCTGCAATTTCTTCATCTGCCACAAATACAATTGTAAAATCGTAGAGATATGAAATTAAAACATCATTTTCAGAGAGATTAAATTATTTTGATATACATGATAAGATTTTATATCAAAAATACAGAATAACATATGTCCATTATAATCTTAGTATTCTTCGATTTACAATATCTAAACAAATGCAACAAAATATCAAAACCTACACGAATTTTCGAAAAATCGTGCTCTCTATTTGTGCAAATTTTTAATATTTATTACATTTTGGAATAGAAAGATTAAAAAAAGATAGGAACACGGGATTCTCGACGCGGCTCGTCGCAGGAAGGTGCAAAATTTATTATTGTTATGCCGGATCGCGATCGGCAGGTGCGATCGATACGCGATTAAGAAAAAGCAATACTTCGTAACTATCGTGTATGTCTCTGAATGCTGTTAAAAGGTCGGCGATAGAACGCGAGAGAGACAATGATAAATATGTCAAAAAGTGAAAAGAGCGTGAAAGGAAGGGTGTGTGAGAAACTAAAAAGCGCGCGAGAAAGAGACATTATATATACATAGATTAATATATATATATATATATATATATAAATATATGCGAGAGTTGCGTTAACAGATAGTTACTGCGAGGGGAAAGGAAGGAAGTCGTGCGCTTTTTTTATATATATACTGGCGAGCCGAGACACCGTATGTCTCTCGCGCTTCTTTCTCGTAAGCCAGAGAAATTGCAGCGGTCGCGTGTGACCTTTCTTTTTGTACATATTGTATAACATACGATCGAAAATGATATTAACGTCACGCGACGACACAGGGAGCGTCTCTCGAGATCTCTCCGCGATCGATATCACGGAGTCCTATCCGGAGCAACACTCTAAGTAAGCGGTAAACGCTAAACGTCCACGATCGGTGGAAAGTAACTATAAATTGTCATGCACATTTTTATCTTGAATGCATATCGTATGTGTATAATTGCACATCTCTATACACATACGCGATTTGACACATTACCGTAAAATATGCTATTATAAAAGGTCAAGATAAAAAAAGCTCTATATCAGATGCGGACGTATGTGTTATGAGAATTTTTATTTTGGACTATGATATAATATTGTTCGCTTTAATATTTATCGTAAAATGTGGTAAACACATATGTCTCCGTTATCGTTCGTGGATGGAGAACAGAAAGAGAGCTGCCACGTAAGGAGGAGAAAAAAAAAGAGTCACAATCGTACGCGACATTGATGTTGTTAATTAGGGTACCTACAATTATCCGTAGCGATGGTAGTTTCGTACACCTGTGCCCGCAAAAAGGAAAGGAGAATCGTGTCACCGTAGCGACCTTTATACTTTCATATAAGGAGATGATGGTCAATTTGTAATAGACGGAGAGAAGAAGTGACAAAAAGTATAAAAACTGAGACTCCTTCCTGGCATTTACTCTCGACATTTGGTGTGTCGGTGAACCCTACGATCACCGACACGGCCGAAATACACGCTCGCCCGTTCGTCTATATTTTTCTTTTCGTTTTTCGTAAACTTGTACATATTAATTGCGATCATTATGTAAATACTCTGAATGAACACACACCCGTACGCGTGCGTGCCCACACGCGCGCAAGGTTTATTTTAAAAAGATTATACATCATTATATATATATATAAATATATTTACCATGTAATGATATATTTAACAGTAAGGTAACATATATTCTATACTCTTACACGCTAAGTACTCAATAAATATATCTATAAAATTTCCCCGTGTTTGTGTGAATGTCTACCCCTGAACCCATCCTGATAATCCTGTCGTATTGTGGCGTCTGTAAACCATCCCA